TAGATAGATAGATAGATAGATAGATAGATAGATAGATAGTGTGAGAGAGAGAACAGAGGCAGCAGTAAAATTTCTGCATTCTCCATTCTGGACGTCTGTGACTTTATTGTAGCCTACTCAAAGCTTTACGTTCCCTCTTTGCCGTCTTTGGATTCCCGCTGAGGTAAAGAGAAAGATATGATGCTCTCGATGATTGCACTAGTAGTATAGTACAGTTTGGCATGTTTTGAACCAGCAGCAGCACCTTGGTGGAATCACTGCAGTTGGTTTTCCGTTTATTTTATCAGTCTGAGACTGAATGTTTTAGTGCTGATCTTTTTCCCCAAAAGGTTCATTTGTACGGAGCTTCAAGTTTCTTGTACATCACTAGATAGTTAGTGTGCTTGTTGTTTGTAGACGTAACATGTATGTCACCCTTCTTGCAGTGTAGCCATTACTAGGCCTGTACACAGGTGACAGGGTTGTGCTTTTTTGTTGTTGGGTCTTATGAAAGCACGTCATGTTCTGTATGCGTAGACCGAGTGAGATAGCGCAATGAGGTGTTTTTAAAAGGTTAAACCATTTCTAAAAGGCACTGAGAACAATGTAGTTGGAAAATTATACTTTTTATAATGAAATGCCGATTTGCGTCAAGTAACCCATGGGGTGTATCACCCCTCTCAAAACTGTAAGGTAACCTAAAAGGAGTTTTGTTTAGCAAGAGTGTTACGCACTTGCAACACAAATAGGTGATAAACGTGCTGAAGATTATAGATGTTACAAGAAAGTAACATGCAAAGAAAAGAAAGAGGAGAGATAAGGACAATAGATGTTTGATAGGAAAGAAGGAGCAAACCTCCCCGGATCCCCCCGCTATCCACCTACACTTAAAGGGAAGGACTCTGATTTAAAGTTCATCTCAGAAAGAACCAAGTCAAGTAGGAGCATCGCCTTGAAATTTCCCCCTAAAAATCTTAAGGTAAAAAGCGCCACCCCTAGAGTTTCGAACTAGGGCAATAGGTGTACAAGATAGTCTCAAATAGCGGGGAGGAGGAGGGTAACAGTTAGAAAAGCTGTACATAACACAAAATGCATGTACTTTCTATAACTGTATATGGGCGGTACTTTATAAGCTTGCATAATTGGGGTAGTAGAGGATAAATTCCGTATTGTATGTATAAATGCCTACGTATGTGGCAAATAGTTGGGATCTTTGGTTTGCATACACAAGACCTTGTGGAGAAGGCCTGTTATCTCGAGTATCTTCATCTTTCTGTGAAGTTATTGTCTTCAACTCAGCCTGAGTTGACCGAGACAGACACAGTCGAAGCCTCGTGAATAATGTAAATTGTGTCAAAGCAGACATTTTAACCAGTTACAAATGAGTGTGATGGGCGTGTACTGTTTCATTTCCACAGTAAATCTAAATTGAAGCTACTCTTATGTATATTTGATTTATTTCGCTGCTATCATAACATTTTGAGGTAGCATTCACCCACTTAGTATTATCGAACTGTGTTCATTGCATTCTTGTATTCTGCTGTTGTACATCACAGGATAAGCCTATTCCAAATTCTCACTATGATGAGCTTTATCTGTTACTGAAGTCATTTTTCGATTATTCTTAAAAAAGAAGACCGTGATAGATAATCCATTCACTTAAACAATCCCATGATGGTTGCTTTCTTCAAGCATTGGTTTTGTTCAGCGGTATGGTGGGCCTAGGTAATAAATGAACTTTATTTTGAAGGTAACTCTGTTATTTCGAAGACGGGACGTATATACTTCAAATTTTAATTGCATGAATATGTTTTGTTTCTTTTAATAGCTTAGACTTTGCATGCATTCTATTGTATTTATGCTGGTCTAATGAATACTGAAGATTACAATTACTTGTCAATCTTTCTCAACTCTCTCAGCACCCGGTGAGTCTGAACTTGAGCTTCTGCATCTGTCAACGTGTCTTACTAAAACAAAACACGATATTGTATTTTTGGTTCATTTACCTATACCCTGATTGCAGTGTGAGATCGTTGCTTGAATTTTATTGCCTTGGTTTGTTTCACGAGACACAAACATATCCGTTCTCCGTATTTGAATTATTCTTCATGGGTTTCATAACGATATTTCTCGCGATTTTCACCTTGACCGAATGATGGTCGACACCTGGATTACATACTACGTGTAATGTGAGAAGCCTTTGCTTTTCGTGAGTTTATTTGGCCATGTTAGTTTAAAATGAAATTGTTCTTTCACGCACAGACACACAGTATGGTTAATTTTTAAGAAGTTGCAAAATGTTGTGTTTTACTCAATTTTGGTTGAAGTAGCTTTAACTGAATATTTCTCCAACATGTCTGTCGATATTCTTCATATTGACAGATGTGACGATCCCTTTGTTGAATTTTATTCGTGCAATGTTTTATTGAAATTTGAGCCAAGATGACCGAGTTGTTGCTCTATAAATGGATCTTCTTAGACACCTGTATTTGTAATGGCATTCAGTATGATGTTCGTCACAGTTTTCCTCACAATGTTCTTATCTATTTCCTCTATTATAATGTTCGATACTAGCATGCCATCCTTTGAAGTGTACGTGTTAGAAAAGGTACCTTGATACGATTATTACCGAATGTTTACAGCCTAGATATAACGCACATAAAACAATGCAAATGCGTCATTTAGGTGACGATAGTATAACTTTTCGTATGCCAGACGATATTGTTCATTACCTTCAAAAGCGCTTTTGATACCACAATAATTATAATTGCGTCCTTCCCACTTTTGTTTTCACCACAGCCGGAAGTTGGTAACTGAGTTCTATCACGTTCAATAGCAAATAACTTTAATTCTTTACTTCTCTTTGTTCTGGTTATGAAGAAGATCGTCTGTCTGGGTCTGGCCCCAATTTTGTCTTCCCAATACACATCTTGTTGTCATTTTTTATACTCCTGATGCTGACATAATAATATTGGTAGTCAATATGCATGCCCTCCGCATGATTAAGTCTCCGTCGCAAAGAGACAATCCCCGAAACGATAGCAATGCGTCATTGAAACTTGATGGAAACGTTACTTCTCGCATGAACAAACCAGTATGTAGTCAGCTAGCATATTAATTTCTGACCTTAGAACTAAAGGGAACTGTCTCCAACGTACATTTCGAGGAGATGAAAACACTCCTGTTGTAAGGTCAGTCTGGCTTGTAGCTCAATATAAAATATTTGACACGAAAGGACTGAAGTTGTGTTTGCTACCGACAATGGAGCACATTGATGGACATTGTTACACGCCATCTATAATTATATGATTGTTTTACGCTTACGATTGCACTGCGCACGCGTACTGGCTTAAACTGCACGAAACTTGCACAAAGGTTATTTGAAAAAAGTCTTTTTGGTCCGTGTTGTCAGCGTGGAAGCATAATTATGAAGAGCACATTTATTTTCCTCTCATTGTGTGCAGGAACTCGGCAAACGTAATGTATTGAATATTGAGCGCCTTATTTTTAACAGCGATTCTAAACGCTTTCATTGTTACTTCGGCTTGTTGGTGGTGCGTGTTTGAAAGCACTACCTTTCTGTTAGTGTTTTGTTTTGATTTTTTTCATTGTAAGCTTTTATTTTTAAATGCATTATACAAAATGTATAGTTCACAGAACTAGAACACACGCACGCACTCCCGCACATACACGCAAACACACACATACACACACACACACACACACACACACACACACACACACACAAACAACAAACACACACACACACACACACACACACACACACACACACATACTCTCTCTCTTTCTCTCTCTGTCTCTGTCTCTCTCTCTCTCTGTTTCTGTCTCTGTCTGTCTCTGTCTCTGTCTCTGTCTCTGTCTCTGCCTCTCTCTCTCTCTCTCTCTCTCTCTCTCTCTCTCTCTCTCTCTCTCTCTCTCTCCGTCCCTATCTCCCTGTGTGTCTCTCCCATTTCACTGCCTCTTTCTCATGTCACACCTTTACATCTAATTCTTATGTTCCCAATGAAATAATGCAAGTTTATGAATTGTAATATTTGAATTTAGAGCCAGTACAAAGAGCGAGCCATTAATATAAATATTTTGCGGCCCCATCAACCGTATTTAAAATTCCACCTTCAGTCTAAAGGAGCGCAGCTCCTACTCTGTTACCTCTTCGACTTGAATACGACGCTTTTTCTCCACAATTCCTCAGTATTCTGCTCAGACACCATTCGTTACGATCTATAGACCTAGAGTCTGGTGTAGTAGGAAAAAGACCCATGAAACTCGACAGTGCTAGGCTCAGCTCTGAGAAGCCCCTTTATGTCTAATAGGGTTTATATCTGCAAAAAGACTAACACTCTTGAGACTATGCATGACTTCAACAATGCATTACGTGGCTTGATTGACTTAGATGTGCGTCAATATTTAAGTGTGTGTTTTTCTTTAATAGCATTATTGGCGATTTATTTTCTTTTACTCTAATTTTTTTAGTAGTGTTTATATCAAGTAGTGGCCTCTGTTGTCTGCTAGACATTTGCTCGTGAACAGTTGCCATTGTTTTTATTTGCCGTTGTTCGCTTAGCTATTGCTGTTATTGCTGATTTAGCTTATTGTTTTATGCCTTTAGAAAAGCGAGCTGGCGTGGGGGGGGGGGGGGCGGACAGGCACTCTTTTACCAATCATATGCTTATTTAAGAAATATCGTGTTGAAATGCACTAACATTGCAGAGCTTGCATTTAGTATCCAGTTTGCTGTGTGTCTGCTGCAGTATTGCATGGTGTTATTTATGAAGTTAGTTTTTCGTGTGTAACATTAAGCTCAACACATCAAACAGCTTCTGAATGCTACTGACAATTTCAACATATTTCTACAGATTCATAAAAGTTGTGATATTCCTTTCTTGTGCATTATTTTAATATTCACAGCTAACTATGCCTTCACCAGCTTTTTTGTTTTGACCTCTACGATTTTAGAATATACTGCTCAAACGTTGTAAGTAAAGGAATATTTGTTAACCTTAGCACTTTGATGAGTTGGAAATTCGTGCTATTCACCCAGCCAGGCACAATAATTCGTAGAGGTTTCAAAATCACAACAAACTCATGATGCATATATACGGGTTTTAGATCCCCAATCCAAGCCGTGTTATTGATATGAACACATCCACCCAGTTATCCATAGCTATGCGTCTCAAAATGTGCAAGGGCACGTCTACAATTCAAGAAACACAACTGCTGCTCTCCAAGACATATATGCGTCCTGGTTATAATATTGTTGTGACAATTCCTGTCTTTTCATATTCTTCAACTGTACCTTGAATGTATGTACTAGAATGCTCTTTCTTTAAAAAGTATATCAACGTTTGGCACCAATAACGATTCCTAATTGTATTTCTGTGACCAGGCAAAAGATGTTGGCAAGTATGCCTTGATCGGAGCCGCCTCCCAGCTAGGTGGTATCCTGAGAACCACCATCTCCCTGACAGTCATCATCGTAGAGTGCACTGGAGACATTACGTTTGGCCTCTGCATCATGATCGCCCTCATGATCTCCAAGTGGGTCGGAGACTTCTTTACCACGGTCAGTGTTTTTGTCTATGACTTGGAATTATTTTTTTTAAAAACATTTTTAAACATCCCGTTTTGAAGATATTGATGTCATAAACGTTTCCAAAAAAAGAGTCATACGAATCGAGCAGCAAGCACAGGTATTATGCTTCTCGGTGGATGTTTCTGAATTGGGAACTTTATTTTCCTCTGTGTTTGTGATTTCGTCAAGATAATTCAGTGTTGCGTTTGGGGCCAGGAAAAAGGCTATTGTGGGACGGGGTTTTTTAATATTGTCATTCCTTCGTTTTCTAACTCTCTTTAATTTTATAAGTTGTACATAATATTTCTCTTTAACCCACCAAAGCATTTAGTCGTAAATATACTTTGATCTTTAAAAAAAAAAATGAGTTATTGTTGATTTCTTTTCGAGGAAAGGAGAAGTGGTGTTGGGTGCTGCAATGAGTTGAGTTTTTTTCATAATGAACGCTATTAATTTGATTGAAATTCTGGTTGTATTACCTCGCTTTTCTCAAATGAGGACGGTTTCTTGTTCTCAGGGCCTGTACGACATGAACGTAGAAGTGAGTGGCATCCCTCTCTTGTCCTACGATCCTCCTCCTCTCTGCGACCACGTTTGTGTCAGGTGAGTGACGTAACAACACCCGTTTAATAAGTTTTTTGTACCTCATGCTGGTTAAGAAGTATCCACGTCCTGATTAATGGTTTCTGAACGTCAAGCTTGCGATCCGCCGCTTTTATTAAGCGCATGTCCAAAAACCGAGTCGGTCTGTTAGGAAAACTGGTCAGTCGACGACCTGGGGCTCAGTATCGTAATGCAGACTATATTTTTTTACTTTGATTGGCTGTCTCAGTAAGCAATGGAGCCAATATTAATCATTTTATGGGTTGAACACCTTTTTGTTTCAATTTATGCTTATATTTTTACTGGTCACCGAACTATTTCTTCCTTAGCATCTGTCATCGTATCTGCATTTTTTTTATTTGAACCTTTGTATTTATCTGACTAAAGTGTATATATTTATTTCCCTGTCAATCAATACCATGTTAATTTAACTAATAATTGTTGATTGAGCTCCGGTTGCACTTGCACGTCTTTCATTTTGCTTGTCCGTCTGGCAGACTATGTCTTCACGTCTGTCTGAATGAGTCTTCTCTTTTTTATGTATCAATTTCTTAGTTTGTGAAGTAAGTGTTTACCCAATTGTTCTAGAATATTTATCAATCTATTATTTTTCTGCATCGTCCAGCGACTTCATGAGTCAACCTGTGATGTCTTTGCTGCCGGTTGAGAAAGTGGGCCATATTGTAGACTGCCTCAGTGGCGAGACCTTCAATGGATTTCCCATCATCGAGCAGGACCCGAACGTAAGCGCTATGTTTTGGTTTTGTTGTACTTTAGAGGTTTATTAGACTGCTGCTCTCTTTCTAACGAGCGATAGAAACGCACCACTGATTAGTCGTTTTTCTTTTCTTTTTCTCTGTTGTTTCTGTATGTCGGTCTTACTGTTCCCCCAACCAATATGACCGTTGTTGTGACGATGTGTTTTTCTTCACTGAAACATTTTCTTTCTGTCAGTTCAGTGTCCTCAATGGGGAGCAATTAATGTTCCACTCTCAGAATGACTTATGTTGGATCTAGAAGGGCATATAATTCTACCTTTTAAAAGATTATGTCGTTTTTTTGTGGTGGAAAACGAAAGGAAATTTATCAGACTCCTGCACTAGAGTGAATTTTGCTTTGTTCCCACCCTGAGATAGTTTATTTTTTACACTACGGAAAGATGAAGAAATTCAGATTATAAGAAATGTGTCATTTATTTCGAAGTAAAGTGAAAACCATTGTCAACGCAGATAAATACCATGTACAAAGAAAAATTGGTGAATCTTAACGTGAGGAGTGCTAAGTTATCCAAAGAATTGTTACCCTTACTCTTGTCTGATAGTGAGGGGTATCAATGATTTTGTCGTGTCGTTCCTATTTTATATTTTGTTTGTTTTTTCCTACCTGGTTGTACACTGTCCAGTATCGTCGGTGGCTGGCGGGTGCTCTGGTGTGGTTTGCTTCTTCTTTCCTATCAAACATCTATGGCCCTTATCTCCTCTTCTTCTTTTTTATGTTTGTTACTCTCTTGTAACACCTCTAATCTTTTGACGCTCATATTTATGCAGTTGCGAGGGCTGTAAAACCTCTACTAAAACTAAACTTAAAGTCCAGTATCCAATACAGCCCACTATACGCTGTCTGTTACATTCAGAGTTGTATATTTCATTTCCCTCACAGTATGATCTCATGTACAAAGGAAAACTCAAGGGGATTATTCTCAGACATCAAATCTTGGTTTTGCTGCAGAAAAAGGTGAGTGTTTGTTTGTTTATTTGTTTGTTTTGCTTTTTTTGTGTGTGTTTGTGTGTGTATGTGTGTGTATGTGTGTGTGTGTGTGTGTGTGTGTGTGTGTGTGTGTGTGTGTGTGTGTGTGCGTGTGTGTGTGTGCGTGTGTGTGTGTGTGTATGTGTAACAGGATATTGTTTCAACTAACAGTTCTAGTTTTACACTTATTTCTTCTGCTTTTCTACTGTACTTTACTTACCCACCCCACCCCCCTTCTCCCTTTCTCTCTCTTTCTCTCTCTCTCTCTCTCTCTCTCTCTCTCTCTCTCTCTCTTCTCTCTCTCTCCCTCTTTCTCTCTCATTCTCTCTTGCTTTCTCTCTCTCTCCTTCTCTATCTCTATCTCTCTCACTCACTCAGTCTTTACCTCTCTTTCGGCTCAGTAATTGCTGTAACCCCTGACAAAATCTATCCTTAGGTGCAAATTGTTTTCTCTCTACTTGCCAACCGGGTTTCTACTATCCTTACTTAGACTCATTAAATTATCTTGAAGGACGAAACGTACGTACAGAAAACATTCTAGTCCCATTATATTTCAAAAATGACGCTCATTTAATGGTTTTAGAATAAGTAAAGGTCTGCTCTCCTGTGGAACTGAAAGCTGCCTAAATTAGCTTCAATGTATTGCTGGAAATATAAAGCTGCTGTTCATACATACTGTAGACCTCTCCTAGTCTCCTAGCATCCTTTTCCTTCAAGCGAAAACAAGACAAGCGATCATGGTTTGCTTTCATTTCTCTGCTGTTTAAAATAACAACCCTCCATCATCTTATTATTCTTTTCCCGTTACCCATCTTCCAAGTTCTCTGAGAAAGTTAGTCTTGGTCTACATCTGCCTGATTTGCTTTCTGCTGTGTTTCTCCTAGTATTAGAATGCCCTATTTTAAGCCCTCACGATTCCATCTCTTTTTAAAACTATTTTTAAATATTTGGGCCTCACGTTATCTAAACGTGTTGGTGTTGTGATTGGGATGAACAGTTAACTTATATAGCCACTTTGATCATGATCTTCACCAGATTTTCTGTCCAGAAGGGCAGATGCCAACGAATACCATCACTTTGGAAGATTTCGACAATCCTTACCCAGTGCCCCAGCGACTCAAAATTGAGGTGAGGCATGTGAAGTGATTCTGCGCTTTGGTTTACTGTCCTCCACACTTTACCATACCTTATGAACATGTTACCTTAACGATACTTCTCATTTTCTCACGTATTTCTTCATCCGATATCTTTCTTACCTTCAATTCCATGTCACTGTTTTCTGCCCACATCGTCACAGTACTGTTTACCAATAGCCTTGGTCACAAATTATGTTTCATCTACAGCCATGATTATATCTATAGTGGTGGCATGTGAAAATGAACTCGGTGATATACAAAGCATACTATTATGTACTATTTTGCTATTGAGTCTGATAAAAAGACGAACACGGACAATATGAAATCGTTTGCGCTTGCCCCATCCAACAGCTACGCATCTATTGGAACACAAAAGCTATTCGTTTCAATGATTCTGTTGTCAGTTGTTACGTGAATGGATACAGTGCAAATCAAGGTATGCACTTTTTTATACACAAATCTTATTTTGTTTCATTTTATTATTATTTTTAGGGGGGGCTAGGGGCAGTAGAAGTCTTTTTTTAAAATCCTAACAGTACCCACCTTCAGTTTTGCATAGTGTCCATACTTACTTCCTAACCAATACCAAAACACATCTTGCTTTCTGCAGGAAATTCAGCTGAGCGCCGAGGACAAAAATTGCGTAATGGATCTGACACCTTACATGAACCAGACTCCCTATGTCGTTGCTCCGGTAAGTACTGCTGAAGGACAAAGCAAAACGAACCGACGTTTGGAAATAATTAATGATACTGCTAATTTGTTTTGTCTTACTTTTACAATTTTTTTGGTAAAGAAAACTAATTTTGGCCCTGCGTACTTCATTTTATTATGGAAAATTTCCACTCGTCCTACGTCCACCATTATTGAAATGGGGCAATTTTTGGCGTCTGTCTCACTTCACCGTAAGTGACGTAATACTTCGCAGACGAGCAAGGTGTGACATTTTTACTAGTGTGCACGGAGGTTTAGATGAGACGCCAAAGAGAGCTTTCAATAAATACACTTTTACTAATGTTAACTTTTCTTGTTTTAGTTCATTCTAACTTTACAGTGTCCATTATTTCTGATGTGTGTATTAGGCTGTTGTTTTAACTCTAAACATGGTTTTCTGTACATTTTACCGTATGTTTGAAAACTTTGTTAAGATGATAAATGCTCTTGGTATGCGTTTCTTGCGTTGTCTTTTGCAAAACGCCTTCTTTCATGTATTGAGTTAAGCTTTAATTGATTTAGATAAAGCAAGCTCATGTACAGAATATATTTGACGGAAGCCCTCTCAAGACATCACAGGCTTAGCATCTTTGGTCAGTTGTCCTTATATGTTTTTACATAATTCCTATCTAGTTGCAATATACGATGTACATATCAACCAGTTTGCATTCACCAATGGTCTCAATGTCACAACGTAATGACTAGTCCTGCTCTTCTTTTTTTCAGAATTTCTCAATGCCCAGAGTTTTCAACCTCTTTAGAGGTCTTGGACTGAGGCATTTGGTTGTTGTCAATGATAAGTATGAGGTGAGGGCCGTTGAACTAGACTACTTAGTTTTTGTGGAATTAATTTTTTGGCGTGCGCGCGCGCGCGCGTGTGTGTGTGTGTGGGTGTGTGTGTGTGTATATGTGTGTGTGTGTGTGTGTGTGTGTGTGTGTGTGTGTGTGTGTGCACACGTATGGATTTTTTCTGCTTTTGTGACCGGAGGGGATGTTAAATGCAACAAAGAAACAATAAGTGCAAACAGATGTTGTCACAGAAGACATGAATTCCCTTTGAATCATGAAAAGATTTTTGGAAATGCATTAAAACAAAATTTAGAGAAAATCAGTTGGGAGGTGGGGGGGGGGGTGTTTTGTTATTCTGGGATTTTTGTTGTTGTTGTTGTTTGTGGTTGTTATGTGGGTTTTTTGGTAATTTTTTGCTTTGCTTTAAATTCATTTCTTGTGTGTGTGTGGGGGGGGGGGGGGATGGATCATGGGTGTACAAGATGAACACAAAGAAGAGTTTGCATTCACAGAACAGTTATTGTTTTTAGAAATTACACTTCATCTTCCAATAAATGATTGTCTGCATCAAGAGAAGTATGGAAAGAGATGAACCTGTCTGACGATTGACATTCTCATTGTCTGACGATTGACATTCTCATTGTCTGACGATTGACATTCTCATTGTCTGACGATTGACATTCTCATTGTCTGACGATTGACATTCTCATTGTCTGACGATTGACATTCTCATTGTCTGACGATTGACATTCTCATTGTCTGACGATTGACATTCTCGTTGTCTGACGATTGACATTCTCATTGTCTGACGATTGACATTCTCATTGTCTGACGATTGACATTCTCATTGTCTGACGATTGACATTCTCATTGTCTGACGATTGACACTCTCATTGTCTGACGATTGACATTCTCATTGTCTGACGATTGACATTCTCATTCACATCCATTGGTCACCGTAGTCAAGGGAACAAACCTGCAAAGCTCTAATTGATTATTTCTTCCTTTGTTATTCCCCTTCTATAGCGTCATTCATTTGCTAGTTTGAAATTGTTTTTGCTGGAGTTGGTCAAGCAAATTAATAACAATATAATATGACCAAGTAAGGCAACATACATAAAAAGGAATGAAAGAATAAACTAAAATATGATTTTTTTTAAAATTTATATAGAATGGCCCGTAGTCCAATGTTTGTGATCAAAGGTTAACACAGGTTTGGTACAAAGAAAGTGTTGTTCATTCATAGTACAATTAGTTATGTATGTGCTCAAGGAACATTTCAGACAAATCACATGCAATTGTATTATTTTGAGCTCTTACTCTCCTCAAAATCTTTGCATGACTTCTTCTTTTCTGATTTACCTGTTCGACTAAATTTTAGTCTTGTTATGATTTGAATTGGAGAATATAAACTTGCGCAACTATCTCTTGGGAGCATGTTAAAGAAATCAGTAGATTTGCTGGTTTTGAGAAATTTTCAAGGGGTTAAAGTACCTATAGACATAGTCTTCTGGACTTGGCCTATTTGCTTGCCTTTAATTTGCTTCTTCCTTTGTTTGTGCATACTCCGAATACTAAGCTGATATGGTGGCGGTTTTTACCTAAATCTGAAGGTTCAAAGCTCGAATCCTTGGAGGGGGGGGGGGGGGTAGGCTCATGATGTTTTTGCTCCTTCCTGTCAACCTGCTTTCTAACTAGAAAAAAATATTCTGGTCTTAGAACGGCTCATGTTGTGATTAAGAAGACATTTTAAGCAAATTAAAGCAAAGAATTACTTTTTAACGTGATGATTCTAGTTGTCAATTTTATTCTCCGCAGCCAATGGGAATGGTCACTCGAAAGGACCTAGCCAAGTACAGAGCCGAGATCAAGAAAGGCATGCTGCATATGCAACAGCTGACAGTGGAAAACAGATAGATCTCCGGATCAGTGTATACTTAGTCATCATTCATACCATTTTATGAAGTAGAATAAATGTATTTAGGTTCATTCTAAACACGTCTGGGAAATGAAAGAGATGTTTTGTTAGCGATGTTTTAAAATTCATGTCTGGAGATTTTTCTCTTAACATGATCCAGTCATTAAAGATTTTCTTAGATTTTAGCAGCCCATTCTATGTATGGAGATTTTTATACCTTGCGTCACTTTCGTTTTGTTTTTTTGTCAGTCTTTTTTCATTATGATCTAGATCTATATGACAATCAAAATATTCTTCTGAAATAACGTCGTTATGCCCGTCGTTACAACCCGTCATCCATGCAAAAAGTATACAGAGCTGAGATCAAGAGGAATGAGTCTGCAATAGGGCAGGTGGAAAATATAGATATATTATCAAGGTCAGCGACGACGGACTATTATTCAATGGCATCACTTATCAATTAATATTCGAGGGTTTGTTTAAGCTCATAACTATTACATAATATTTGACCTTGACAAATTTTGTTGTTTGTAAGTATGCAGGATGGTGTCTCGTAGGTTGTAACAGAGCGTCAGCAGCTGTTGGTGAAGATGGATAACATTTTCCCGAGCATTTTTATTTTTTCTGGCTTTCCCGTCACGGCTTTCATAGTTTATGCCTATACTCCTACAATTAAGTTATTACTAAATTATGTCCTTTGGGGCGTAAAAGTCGTGAACTGTATCTAGCGGTCAAGCACCATGATGCCTCATGTTTAACTGGTGACGTAGAAAACGGAACCATATAGGTCTGCCAATCTCATTTCCGACATCGCTTGGGAGTTTGTTTTACAACTCTCATGGTTTGATTATCTAGACTGGCCTTGTTTTGCCCATTGGGACGTAAAGGTCAATGTGTGAAGGAATAATGAGTCTACAGCGGCAATCTAATTGCCACCACATGGAGCAAGGATATGTTCGGTACAAACGGCTGAATATCTGCTCACCGTATGAAGGCAAGGGAAAGGAGGTAACACAGGAAGGGGAAAGGGGAGGTGTTTTGTTTGTATGGGCGTCTCTTTTGAGTGAATCTTAGTGATTTATCAATGTTTTTTCATCCAGAAATGGTTATAGATGAGGAAATGGGGATATGTACGTATATGATTTTTTTAGAATAAAAAAGAATAGGACAATGATACGGACAATTTTGCCTTTTCATTTTTGTTACCGACTTGTATAATTTTACTACAAGAAGGACATGCGCACTAATTCAGTCCGGTACTCTGAATACAATCTCAAGAAAGGAAAGGCTCGAAATCTTTGCACAAATTGCGAGTCGTACTTGACAAATTAGTAAGTACCAATATGATTATTATGCAATTTAAATGTTCTCCCTCTCAGCTTTTTTTCTAATATTATAATAAAAATCGACCGTTTTCAGGATGGCCCTGGACAGAACAGAATAAATATGCACATTATTCCTTTGTTTTTAAATTTCTGAGTTCCAATAATGGCGATACCTTTTTTGTGCCTTCTTTTTCTGGTTAAACCTGGCTCTTTTTCCCTCTAAACTTGCAAAAACAAATTCAGACGGGCCAAGGTACATAATAATTGCATTGAGTATGCAAAGTTTCTCTGATGATTTGACGTAGGCGGAAAAGACATGACGATTATGCTTTACGTTCTCCTGGTAAAGGGCAACCCATCCTGTTGAAGAAAACGATATGCTCTTTATCGAATACCGAAGGGTTGTAGCAACCCACACTCAACTTGTAGGCAGGGCATGACCTTTCAGTAGGTTTCAAAACCATCGTGCGTGATATAATATTATAAGGTTAATCTGTTTTTTAATATAGATAGACTTCGTTATAGTTTTAATATTTAGATGTTCCAATAGATCGCGAACCTTAGCTGTACGATGAAGGCCTCGTTGTGTCACATACTTATTTAGCATTGTGGCGACAGAGGAGGGCTGTTTGCAACAATAGCTTAATGCGTAAGGTACTTCCAGACATCAGGTGCTTCCAAAAATCTATTTTTTGTTGTTGTTCACTTCAATATTTACTTCCAATGAACAGCTTTCAACAACGAAGCCTTAGTTCTTTATTAAAATGTAGCTATAGACTTAATATTTTGAAATGATTCTTTTATTATTGGCATGTATATATGTATATACATGTATACATATTCATATCTTCATTTTCAACAACTGATACACGGATATTGAAAAGGACAAAAGAATTTCCAAAGTCATCTCGTAAGCTTCTTTTGTGAGCTACTAAAGGTTCAGCTTATATAATAAGTTCCACACTCTCTAAACAATTGCGAAATCGTCAGCAGTTTAATGGTTTACGTTTAACAGCATTTTCCTGTTAATCGTATTCGGTTAATACTTATGATAGTGTAAACTCACCCAAACATTTTCCAGTGGCAGCTCTTTCTGAGCAGACAGCGGATTATCATGAACCTCAATCTCATTTTTTTCAAAAACAGCTTACAATAGTTTAAAGGTTGGCTTTGGAAAGTCTTCTTTGTATTATTTTTCACATTTATCTATCAAAAATGACTTTATTATGATATGTAACGTTGATTTGTACGTATGATATCTTTTCACCAAATATGCAAACTGTTGTATGTGTTTATCCAGTCTATGTAGAATATGATTTCATCAACGGTACGCCATATTATATCATGTGAATGTACAGTTTTCATTTTGTATGCGCAAACAGAAGGAAACCAGAGCTTTATTATCCTATTCAAATGAAACTTATTGTAAAGCATTAAATTTTGTTCTCTTAAGGGTTTGGTCTTTGAAAGCTTGTAATGATTACCTTATGTTCACAAGTCTTTCCATGTTGTGCAATTTGAAATATTTGAGCCTCTGTAGATTGAATAATGCATGCTGAAGCAGTATTTTCCTGAGTATTTCTTTTTCTTCTTGTTATAGACGTTTATGGTGTGTAGTTAACGGATGTTAATAGTAAAATGTTTTGCCTCAGTTTGACGATAAAGTACAATTTTCTTATGTTAGATTTTAAAACTCAACTTTGACTAAATGCTAAAGGAAATGTATATGCGTAAGTGTGCGAGTGTGTGTATGTTTGTGTCTGTGCGTGTGTGCCTGTGACTGACTGTCTGTGCCTCTGTGGAAATTGATTGTGTGTATCGGTGTGTGTGTGTGTGTGTGTATGTGTGTGTGTGTGTGTGTGTGTGTGTGTGTGTGTGTGTGTGTGTGTGTAATGCATTTTCCAAGAGATCTCTTCACGTCTTGATAATTTGGAACTTGTGAATTACCTGTGCAGCCTCCATCACATCAGCTGTCGTGCAGTTTTCATCAAATACCATTCAAAGTAAATATAACACTGTGCTGTGAATGGGTAAGAAACAGTCTATAAGAGCATTTCCTAGATATCCCGTTTTAAAATAAAAGAATAACCGAGTCGTTTGCGTCCAGTAAGACTGCATATTAGGAAGTGAGATATCAATTCTAATTTTATTACAGACATCAAAATACTCAAATGAAATTAATTTATCCAGTGGTCATTTGAAAGGATTTGAACCTATATCCAAAAATATCTGAAACATAAAGCTCTATAAGAAGATAGCTACAAGCTCTGAGTTTATAAGGAAAATGTAAGGGTTGCCATCTCCATTTAACCATGCAACATTTTCATAGAAAGGTGTCGAAAAAATTTAACTGATCTATCGGCTAAGAATTCTTTTTTGGTTTACCTTTTCAATTTTAGAAATTAATTTTTATTTTGTATTTTACTTTTCAATTCTACACGGGCAATTGGCCGCAAACTCAAGATTATACAATATTCCTAAAGTTTAAAGTATCATTAGTATTATCTCTAGTTCTTGTATGTGTATATAATGATGTGTGTGTGTGTATTTGTGTGTGTATGTGTGTGAGTGTGAGTGTGTTCACGGCATAGGTGGGGTTTTCTTTTGTCCTGTCATCATTTTCTTTATATCACTGGTTCTAAGAAGTGAAAGGTCAAACCAATTTCCATTCCCTTATCCTCCTTTTCAGTTACTGTAAGAAAAGAAGGTGCTCCCGACTGCCGAGTTTTTGTTGTGTAATATATTCTAAACAGTAATTCCCCATCTCTTCCACCATTCCAGTTTCAGTGAAAAGCCACTTACTGCCTCAGGAATGCGTACTGTTGTAGACAGCATTATATTATACTGTTTTGTTGTTTTGTATGCGTCATACTGGGATTAAATGGTTCGAAATTGACACGGAGTGCTTTTCATTATTTGCTCATGTTGGCTGCCAAAGATTAGCCGCTAAATTGTTTATTTTCCTGTATAAACGTAACTGTCGAGACAATGTGCAAAGATGAACTAAATAAAAGCCTTAATGTGATGTATAATCAAGAAAACATCTCTCTAAGTTGTGTCTTTTCAACTTTACAGAAATGTTTGAATTATACACTTGCTCACAACGCATCATAACAATAACTGTGAAAGATGGGGTTACCTTGGTTTATACTGGCGAATAAACTTTTAGCGTGGCAGATGTTTGACCGCCAGTGCTGGTGAATAAATGCGGCCTTTCTTTTCGATGACATTCCATATCTGTGGTACTTTGCACAAAAGTCCTCTTGTCTCCTTGAATATAATATGCAACACTCTCTATGCTAAATTAATCGTATAAACGTAGTATAATTATACCAAGTGTGATTCCTTGGCAATTTACTGCACACCGTCAACTCCAACCAGACTGTGCAAGCGTGTCGAATTCGAGTTATCCATGCTTGGTTGTATGTCAAACCAATGATAGTACATAACAAGATGGGCCACTCAGCCAAAAAAGTGTCCGCAGGAAGTATGCTCTTTGCTTCAGATGGCGCTGCAGTCTGTTTTGAAGCTCTCTTTCGTTTTTCCAGAAAAAGAATAGGAATAGCACCTCCTTGCGTGCGCAGATCGACTGCTGTTCATCAGCAGTTCGGGTACGTTCAGTGCGGAGTTTTAGTTTTTTAAAATTTTAATGACCTCTCGCCTTTCACTCTAAAGTCAAATTAAACAAAGAAAACCATCACCCTTTCCTCCGGAAGAGGTTTTTTGTCAGCGTAACCATTTTAAAAAAGCGTTCTTCCGAAATTTATCCCAAAACTTGCTAGTTTCACTTTGATTTTTAAAAACTCAAGTAGGGTAACTCTGTTCGCAAAGAGTGCGCTTTTGTGAAGAGGGCGCCACCAAATTTTGAGGACACTTTTTTAATTGGCTCAAAGAGAGAAGTGGCCCATCTTGTTATGTACTATCATTGGTCAAACGTAACAACCGCACAGGGATGTACACGGTGGACTTTTTCCTTGCACCTTCCTACTTCGGATTTCCAATCTGTAATGATTATAAATGGCACCTAATTTTTCAGTTGTTTCATATTACACAGTTGCCTTTTACAGAATGTCAGATGCTGTTGACTTTCGTTTCAACTCACCCTGGAGTTGATAGAAGCATTTAGATCTAGCATTGTGAACATTATGTAATATGCAAACATTGATTTTGTCACAATCAAGTCAAAAGGGAAGAGAAGTTTCATAGCAATGTAAAATTGGACCTTCTGTTAGAGGTTAATCTGGCTAACTCCTAATTGTCTGAAATGTCCCTTGATTTTCCATGTTTATTCTTTTGTTATAGGGGGTTATACAAAGTCATTTCATTTATGCCTTTCTCCAGTAGAGTAATGTTTACTGCGAGGTACAATTCTTGTACATTGATGCTTTCCGGAATTTGTACTCGTCTCTCATAGACGATGTGCTTCACGATTATCTATGTACAAGATTGTTATTTCACCAATACAAAAGTCTGAGACATTGTATTGATTGTTGTGTTGTTTTGTTGTTGTTTTTTTATCTTTTGTTGTCGAAGCACTTGAGAGTGTACTTGTGGGGCATTTCGACAGCTCACTGGTATAATGCTGGACTACGGAGCGGATGGCCCTCTTAAGAATCACCAACGGGCGTTTTGGGGAGGTTTTATGACTTTTCTCCCAGTCAGCTCGGTTCTATCGGAGATGGACATTAAATTCGGAGGTCCTGTTTCTTAACTAAACGTACCAGCATTGAAAAGAACGTTTAACTTTTTTGTCCCTTGTCCTATTTTCATTGTTGCTAGATATTAGTCAAGTATACAAAGTAAAGTTGTAAGAAATTGTTATGGTGAAAAGTCAATTAAAAGTAGTTGCAGATGCTTCTGCAATCACTTATCCTGAGCAAAGATGGCAATACGTGTCCATACAGATTGTGATTATGATGATGATGATGATGATGATGATGATGATGATGATGATGATGATGATGATGATGATGATGATGATGATGATGATGATGATGATGATGATGG